TAAAATTCATATGGATGTTCAAAAGACCCTGGATGGTGAAAATAATCTTTGATGAAAATCAATATCACAATATCTAGCATCTAATTATATTTTAGAAACACAATGACAAAATTAATATGGTACTGGCAAAACTCAGAAATACAGACCAGTGGAATAGGACAATGGACCATAAAATAAGCTACACAGGTACTCATATCTGATTTTCAACAAAGTCACCAGAAACGGCATGTTCAACAATGATGCAGGGAAAATGGATAGCCATTTGCAGATAAGGCAATTAGACTTCTACCTCTCATGTCATACAAAAAGACCCTAATGTAAGTCCTGGAAAATCTTAACTACTAAAAAATACTTTAAAGTAGATATGGCACAGAAAGACAAGCATGGCATGTACTCATTCATATATGGATTTAGATATAGAACAAAGGATTACCAGCCTACAATTTACACCTCCGGGGAAGCTGGGAAACAAGGAGGACCCTAAGAGAGACATACATGGTCCCCTGGAGAAGGGGAAAGGGACAAGAGCTCCTGAGCAAATTGGGAGCATGGGGGGTGGGGAGGAGAAAGAGAAGGGGAGAAGAGGAGTAGGAAGGAGAACATGAGGAGTTAGGAAGGCTGGGTTTGGGGAAGAATAGAGGAGAGCAAGAAAAGAAATACCTTAATAGAGGGAACCATTATATATTTAAAGAGAAATCTGGCAATAGGGAAATGTCCAGAGATCCACAAGGATTACCTCAACTAAGACTCTAAGCATTATGGAGAGGCTACCTTAAATGTCCTTCCCTGATGAGATTGATGACTACCTTATATGCCATCCTAGAGCTTTCATCCAGTAGCTGATGGAAGCAGAAGCAGAGATCCACAGCTAAACACGAGCTGAACTCCTGGAATCCAGCTGTAGAGAGGGAGGAGGGAAGAGGGAGGAGGGAAAAGGGAGGAGGGAGGAGCAAAAGGTCATGACCGTGCTGGAGAAACTCATAGAAACAGCTGACCTGAACAAGTGGGAGCACACAGACCCCAGTCATAAAACTGGGGAACCAGCATTGGACTGAACCATGCCTTCTGAATGTGGGTGTCAGTTAGGAGGCCTGGGCAGTCTGTGGGGCCTCTGACAATGGAACCAGCATTTATCCCTAGTGCACAAATAGACTTTGGGAGCCCATTCTCCATGGAGGGATACTCTCTCAGCCTAGATACACGGGGAAAGCTAGGCTCTTCCCCAAATGACATGACAGACTTTGATGATTCTGCATGGAAGGCTTCACCCTCCCTGGGGAGTTGATGGGGGATGGGATGGGGGGCTTGGGGGTGACATGGGAGGATGGGAGGGAGAGGGAACTGGGATTTATATGTGAAATAAGATTGTTTCTACATGAAAAAATAGACATGGACAAAGGTTTTCTAAAAAAAAAGATTCTAATAGCAGTGAACATAATACTATGAAATTACAAATTGAAATAAATGAAATTAAAAAGTTTGTATAGATCAAAGGAAACAATAAACTTCATGGAGAACCTGCAGAATGGACAGAAATCTATGCTAATTCCCCTTAGACAGGGGATTAATATCGAGAACTGAGTTGGTGTGCAGGGTATGAATCCTGATGCAAGCCTGGAGTGTGGGGACAGATCCGGCTAGGAGAAGAGGTTGGAGATGCAATGGGAGGGACTTGCGGGCTGTGATGCAGGCATGGGTGGCCACACTAGGCTGGGTGTGGATGTGGGTCCTGGGCTGGATCTGGGGGCTTCCGGATAGTGTGTGGAAGAGAAGGTAAGGTAGACTCACTTTGCTAGAGAAGGATGTGAAGGATCTGGCTCAGGTAGGGGATCTCTTTCAGGAATCAAGAAGACCTAGTTGGGGGAAGGGGCAGAGGGGGACAACAATTAAAGAGACATCATCTTGATAGAGATTGACTTTTTTATATCCCACATGCGAGTGATAATGTGGTACCTTCCCTTTGGTGCCTTATAGTTCACATAAGTATTTCTAGTTCTATTCAATTTGTAGAAACAGTTTTGTGTTCTGTCATTTCATTGGTCAGTTTTTTCAATCCAGTGGAGCGGTCATGAATGTGGGATATGTAGTTCTCTGTTGAAGGAAACACTGTGATAAACGAGCCTCCCCTTTAAGTTTTATAAGCCTTTTAAGTTTCCCAGTCTACTGCTTCTTCTGCTGAAAATTTTCAAGAGTTAAATTCCCAGTCTCCCATTGAAGTGGATGGTGTCAGTGCAGAAGCATAGCTGTTGGGACAGTTGGGTGAGGTGAGGACCTACCTGTACCAGTTACCCCATTCGTATCTTCAACTAGTCATCAGCTTTTCAGATGTTCCCTGGGCCACACCAGCAGTGCTTTCTAGCTGGAGAGGTCTTCCTCTGGGTGTGCTGGCTTGTTTCCCACAAGGATTGGCCTTTTTCGGCATGAAGAGCTGCTCAATCAGGACAACAGTCTTTTAATGTCATCTTGTTTAAGAAGACATTTCTTTAGTTTTGATCTCTATGATTTCTGAAGAGAAACATGCATTTTCATTGTGTTTCCTTGCTGATACTTACATTTTCTTGATATGTGTAGGTTTCAATGATTTGACAACGGAAAAACAAGTGGAATCATAACAAGGAGGAGAAAGTCTAGAACAAATGAGAAATTTACAGTAACATGATACGTTTTCCCATTTTTTTCTAGCAATTTTCTTAAGTGTTAGAAAGAGGGCTATTCATAGTTTGAAGTAATCAGAAAATCCAAAGGGTTCTAACTATTGAAATAAGGTTTAGGTGCTAATAAAATTTCCTTCATTACAACTATTCCCGTTACAATGTTTCTGTGTGCAAACATTAAACTTCCTAACTATTTACTTGTATACAAACAACATACTCTATGATATTGATAGGACAACTTCTTTTGAATTGACATTCTTTCTTCACTCTTCATACTACTATTAAAACTTGACAGACAGGTTGAATAATTTGTATTCACATTTATCTGCCTGTTTTCTCTCTCATTGTTTCAGCCATGCTCTTGTTAACTTCAAATCATCTTTAATATCCCACCCTTTCCTTTTTGTCTGTGTGGTCTTTCAAGGCTGTGGAAGTAAAACTGTACCAACTGATTTCAATGTATTCTCACCAGGCTGGTAACTATTATTTTGCTACATTTGGTTTTCCAATGATGTAGTTCCAGCACCCAAAGATTGGTGTGATGGCTAGCATTTGCTTAAAACGCATAGTTGATATGTAATACAATGAATACATTAAACCATAAGAATATTGAAAACTGTTGCGGAAAATCACTTTCTCGATAGCACGACTGGAAAATGTCCTCAAAGAGGAACTGGGTATACTTGAAGATGAAAATATCTCAAGTTCAAGTTTCATAAATTAGTCATGGTAAGTAATAAGACCAATCACAAAACAATACATCAAAGGACAGTCTTTGAAAACAAAACAATACAGTCAAAGAACAATGCATCAAGTTAGGTAGATACACAGTAGAAGGTGACAATCAACAGTGAGAAATGCTCAGAGACTAAAGCAATTTATTTCGAAATGCCTGTATAGAGCCACTGCTTTACCCTACTGTCGATAGCCTGCCTTTTAAATGGCTAGAGAGAGTATGAGAGTATAAAAGTAGGAGATCCGTTTGAGAGACCCTGTAACAACAAATTGGGTAATGGGGTGGGGCTTAGGCAATTGGTTGCTGTTACAGATGTAGCACTGCAGAACACAAGGTGAAACACTCCCATAATTTCTCCACAAGACTTCTCAAGAAATTGGTCTAAAATATATATATAAACATGTATTATAAATACACACACATATATGTGTATATATATGTATATATATATATATGTATAAGACCATTCAAATTATTCATTGTATATCATGAAACTACTTGTTCTTTCTAGAAGTAACTCTAATACACTAAGATTTTCCTTATTGTCTCAAAAATTTAACATTTTTTTTTATTCTTTGAAACAGGGGTTCTCGTTGGCTTTGGAGGCTGTCCTGGAACTAGCTCTTGTAGATCAGGCTGGTTTCAAACTCATAGAGATCTGCCTGCCCCTGCTTCTTGAGTGCTGGGATTAAAGGTATGTGCCACTACCACCCAGCTTCAGAAATTTAACCTTGATACAAACATTGATGTAACTAGTGATCAATGGAGTATAAAATAGCCCCAAACAGTTTGGTGCTTATCTCAGAACATTTTGTATCTCCATAAGCATGGAAATGCTCTAGTTACTTGGATGAAGCCAGCCTTTAACACAGATGAAGCATCTTTAGTTCAGTTGGTGCTTACAAGATTCTCTAACAGGAGCAGCTGCCATCATCCACCTATTATGTGATGCTGCTACATTGCTATAGGAAAACTGAATAGATACTGTTTCACAGAAGTGATAAACTTCCTCTGGGTTTTACTCCTGGTCCTGTCCTAGCTTATGTTTGCAACTGTGTCCTACACCTATACCATTTCTCCAAACACTTGGAAAGTTAGTTCGACATCATTTATCCAGAGGCATTGAAGTAGAAATGAGAACACAATGTAAAATCACCACCAAGGCACCCTGAACAATGTTTTATTATGGGAAACAAAGATGAGATTAGGAAAATATCTCAGGAATATCAGTTTGAATTAGAAAATCTTCCAGTGGAAATAATAAGAAAGGACACAATGTTAAAATTTCATCAAGTGGAATGATATATCCACAGGTGTTTATCACAGTGCTTTGTCTTCCCATCAAAATATTACACAGTAAAACAAAATGCATTCTTTACTTAAGTTATAGTGTTAACAGTGCAGCAAATAATATTTATTTAAAGTTTTTGTATTGATAACAAATATAGAGGAAAATAATTGTTTACCAGGCCAAGATTTAAAAAGTGACATTTTCTGAAACATTTCATTGACCTCAGTACAGTTATATATATTCATAAAGCCATACACAGATAAAATGATTGCACACACACACACACACACACACACACACACACACACACACACAAAGCTGCTTCCATAGCAATGTGCAGGAAGTATTGAAAGGTACAGATTGTTAGGTTATAGAGCCCAGGTCACACGGCGTGCTTGGACATGTGTTTTGTTCATATTACCATCCTTTGAGGACATAGAGTGTACATGGACAATGCTCCGAGGCATTGTGGTGCGCTCTGGAAGTGAAATAACTTGGATTGAACTCCCAGACAGCCTTCTGCCATTACTGTCTCTGTGTGGTATACAGAATTTCATGCAGGCACATCTGTTTGTGCACTGTACAAAACAGAAGATACCTGGGGACAGAGAAACAGAGGAGCAGCATTAGTGTGATGTGCAGAGGTGTGGGACTACTACTTCCAAACCCTTACAAGACCCTGACCACTGAGCCCTGTGAATGTGTCCCAGCTACTATCTGGAGTCATCCTGGAGAAGAATGAATTAGTCAGAGGAGGTGGAATTATCTATAGTAACTTCAGTGATTCTCAGCTCCCTGAGGGGGATTCATTCTGAATGAAGATGTGCTTCTACATGGGTTCCATGGGGAGGTGCAATTCTTATGAAATTTGCAGGAGGAGGAGGGGACCTCTTGTTTAAGTGGGTTCCTGTTTTGCCAACGCCAATTTTGATGTTGTCTGTCTTGTAACTGCTTTGGTACCACAGTGCTTTCCTTGGCTCCCTGGTTCTCTTTAACATTATTGAACCTTGTTCTCTAGCCACTGTCCCTGGTGGTTTATCTCTGCCTTAAAGTTGGAAAGGTACTAAAAATAATGAAAAGGAAAAACAAGGAGTGCTCTTGGAAGCAGGGTTAGCCTACCATGTCCAATTTCAGCTTTCTGCTTCTAAGAATTGTATTTAGATAGTCCAGGTGAGTTTTTCACATTTAAAAAAATGGAGTTGGCATCTTTTCCTTGATTTTCCATTTTCATTACTTTATACTTCTCTTTGTGCAGATTGTCTGATTTCTATCTCTCTTCTAGGACCCCGGGGATACTCACCACAAGTGAGAAGGGATGCGATGGCTAAGTAGGCCGTGAAAATGATCCATTTGATCTTATAACTAATAAAGTATACATGTTCACCTTTATTTAGCTTGTGATGATACATAGTGATTGAATAAAACATGAGGCAACCTAGTGTCCAAAAGAAAGAATATTTTTTCTCAAGGAGTTTATAATCATTACCACCATTCATCTTATCTCCCAAACTATCCCTTCTGGCACAGTTATTCCATAGGGTGATCACAAGTTTGTGATAGATCTAATCCAGAAACAATATATACCCTTGATTCATAGAATTGGAAAGGCCAACTATTTGGAGATTAGTGAAGGGAACCCATAAGGCCATTGCTACTTCCATCAATACTGGCAGAGCCAGAAAGTTACCTGTGAAGAAACTCAGGAAGCCAACAAAGAGGTGCACGCACTTATTTTGAGGAATCATAGAGGTTAACTGCAGACCTAAGATCAAGTTAAGATAGATGGAAATGTTGAGACTCATCATCATCGTGCGCCTGATCATCCTCAGGCTGTCTGTTGGGAAGCAGAAGCTGCATTGAGAGAAAGATACTTCTTCCAGACTCATTTCCACGACTGTCTAGGTCATACTTTCACGAGGGCCTAAAAATCTCAGAATACAAAAGAGAGGAAAGGAATAAAGAATAAAGAGGCAGTGTACTTGAGACAACAGAGAGAACCAGAAGAAACTTAACTCAGAGGTTAAGTACCACTCTATCCATCAAATACCTTACTCCACCCACCCTCTCCTATGGATGCTAAAATCCATTTGCTTTTTGGTCCGTCATTTTTGTTGTACCCCTCATGTCTAGTTGTGCTGATTACCCTACTGCTAGGCTTATCAAAAGCCCAGTGCTTAAACCAGTGAGCTCCTAATATTTTCTCCCCAAATCAAAATGGTAAAAGTTTAGAGTATCCCTCCCTTATGTTGTGTATGTAAATGCCTGAGCAAGTTGATCTCAGGAATAATGGATAAGTTGATCAGATGATGAAAGTCAAAGAACTGTGAAAATTTCCTCTCCACCACTTTCCACAGTACAGTTCTGACCTTCAGGCCATAAAGCAGGACAGCAACCCAGCCACGGACTGTGGGTAGTCTTATCTTTTCTCACTTTGGGAATCAATTCCACCCAGTTGTCCATGATGAGTCCAGCTACCATCATGAGTATGGCTATAGATGAGAAAACTACGTTGACAGCCTGGATACTTCTGTTTGGGACATGCATCATTGTGGACAAAAATCTCTACCCAAGACTACCACCAGTGTTTCACACGTCTTTTCTTTGATAAGACACAAGATGAAGGGTGGAATCTGAATGCTCACTGACTGCTGAGGAGTTGCCAGAGACACCAGTGGTGGAAGGTGCTGAAGTAACCTGTAGAATGGAAAAATAACTTCCTCCCTTTACTATTCTTATATAAAGGGCAGACTGTTGTCAGAGCAACAAACTGCCATGGAATCCTGGTCTGTTGGTTTGACCCTTGACCTTGGGACATAAGGCACTGGAGCAACCAAGCTATGCAAAGGTTCTTTGAGAGAGCTATGATATGGCAAGGTCTGATATAAAAGAAAGTGATACCAGAAACAGACTTTAAAGACTTTGACAAGTATAACTAAAGAAGTTCCATATTACAATCAGAATGAAGTATGCTGGTGATAGTTGACACTGGGTGCAGTCTGTGAAGAGGAGAACCCTTAGGTATTATGGGTAAGTGCTCAGTTAGTTAGCACCATAAAAGGGAATGCCCATTAGAAATTTTGGGTGTGTTATAGAAACTCAAATCTTCAGTGAGGTTCCTCAATAAGGTTTCTAGGGAGAGTAAAGCACTGAAACTCAAAAAGGAAAAAAAAATGTTCTGGTACACTGAACCATTCCAGTTCACTATCTTCCATAAGGCATAAGAATCCTTTCTTGTCAGAATTGCCTTTGTAACTTGGTAGAGAAAATATGTTCAGAGTCCTTGGGGAGAAGAAAACTATGGAATGCACTAGGTTTGGAAGCAGACAGATGTTCTAAAACCCCTTAAATGCCTTTTGCTGGGAAATAAGAAAACTTCTCCAAATATTTTCCTCCCATTTTTCCCTTTTATTGAAAATATTCTTTTCTCATAGACTATATCCTGATTATAGATTCCCTGCCTCTATTCCTCCCAGTTACTTCCCACCTACCTCCCCGCAAATTCACTCCCCTGAGATGAAAGAAAAACTATGATATCAAAAAGTTGGACACAGCAACCCAATAAGAGGTCTTTGATCCCTGAGGGGAGGGATTAGATGGAGATATACCATTTAGGGATGAGTGTTCCAAGGTCTCATTCTCTATACACTATCTAGATATGGGTTTATGTATTTTCTCCCATCTGCTCCAGGAGGAAGTTTCTCTGGTGATGGCTGAGCAAGGCACTGATTTATGAGTATCAGTCATCAGGACCCCCCCCATCTTTTTTATATTTATTATTTTTACTTATTTTGCATGTCAATCCCAGTTCCCTTTCCTTCCCTCCTCAACGCCCCTCCCATTTCACCCCCCCCTCCACAGGGAGGGTGATGCCTTCCAGGAGGGATCATCAAATCTGTTAAGTCATTTGGGGTAGGGGTTAGGCCCTCCCTCCTGCCTCTAGGCTAAGGCAGTATCCCTCCATGGGGAATGTGCTCTCAAAGTCCTTTCGTGCACCAGGGATATATTCTGGTTTCACTGTCAGAGGTCCCTTAGACTGTCCAGGCCGCCTAACTGAGACCCATGTTCAGGGTTCTAAGTCAGTCTAATGCTGGTTTCCCAGCTATCAGTCTGGGGATCCGTGAGCTCCCCCTTGTTCAGGTCAGCTGTCTCTGGGTTTCTGTAGCCAGTCTGTGGGTTTCTTTAGCTTGGTCTTGACCCCTTTTCTTCTCACTTCTCCCTCTCTGCAACTGGATTCCAGGAGTTTGAGGAGCACCTCCCCCATCTTAAACAAACAGACAAACAAACAAAACCCCCAAACCAGTAGTATTTAGTTTTACTCTAGGTCCCTGGACTATCTCATCTCTGGTTCTTGGTCACCCAAGCAGTCTCAGGTATTGGTTCCATCTTGTGGAGTGGGCCTTTAATCAAATCACATATTGGCTGTCTATTGTTCTTAAATGCAGAGTCATCTCTTTAGGTCCCTTTCTTGGACTCCTGGCTGTATTAGAACTTACTCGGTAGACCAGACTGGCCTCAGACTCAGAAATCTGCCTGCCTTGTCCTCCTGAGTGCTGGGATTAAATGCATGAGCCACCACTCTGAGTTTAGCAGAAATAGATCTAAATTAGTCTTGAGAATGAAAATGTCTGCACATGCATTCTCTCTCTATTTCTCTCTCCTTCCTCTACCCCCCTGTCTCCCATGCTCCCCTATCACTTCCTCCTTCTCTCTCAATGTTATATGCTATGTAGATGTCAAGATTATTTAGGTCCACAAAAGAAACATGACATTAGACTCATTAGTCATATCATTCCTATGATCATAAAACCCACCATGCTGGCTAGTTTTATGTCAACTTGACACAAAATAGAGTCATTTGAGAGAAGAGAATATCAATTGAGAAAATGTCTCGATAAGTCCTGGCTATATAGGCAAGCATGTAGGATATTTTCTTAATTAGTGATTGATTTTGGAGGGCCCAGCCTATTGGGCTGATGGGCCTAGGCACAAGGGAGCAGGCTGTGCAAGCCATGAGGATCAAGCTAAAAAGCAGCATTCCTCCATGGATTCTGCTTCATCCTTTGTCTCCAAGTTCCTACACTGGCTTAACTTAGTGATGGGCTGTTACCTAGAAGTGTAGGGTGAAAGAAAATCCTTTCTCTGAGTTGCTTTTGGTTATGGTATATTGTTACAGCAATAGAAACCCTAAGATACCCATGAAGGTTGAGGCTAGTTTTAAGAATGGCAATCCATTGCTAATAATATCCCCACATATAAAAGTTTAGAAACTAGAAATGATAATTGTGTGGCATTAATGATTGCAGGATTCACCTTCAAATAATTGGGTGTGCTCCCATTGAGACAATTAAGACTTTTCAAATAACACTGGCTCTAGAGACTGCAAGAAAAATGAAATGATTACTAATCTAAATTACTTTCTCTCTTCTTACTAGGTTGTGTAGGTGCCTCTGTGATACAAGGGTAATTGCAAGAATCATAAGGCCTAGTAAATTACAATGGGCTTTTGAATTTTGTAACCCTGGGATCTTGTGGATGAGGTTTCTTTTTTTTTCTCAGTTCTTTTTAAAATATATAATTTATTATTTTTTCTTATTTTACATATCGATCCAAGTTCCCTCTATTCCCCCTCTCACCTCACCCCCCCCCCACTTCACAGGGAGTGTGATACCTTCCAAGAGGGATCATCAAAATCTGTCAAGTCATTTGGGGTAGGACCTAGGCCCTCCCTCATGTCTCCAGGTTAAGGGAGTATCCCTCCATGGGGAATGTGCTCCCAAAGTCCTTTTGTGCACCAGGGATACATCCTAGTTGCACTGTCAGAGGTCCCTTAGACTGCCCAGGCCTTCTAACTGAGACCCAAGTTCAGGGGGTCTGAGTCCTCCAATGCTGATTTCCCAGCTATCAGTCTGGGGGGTCCATGAACTCCCTCTTGTTCAGTCAGTTGTCTCTCTAGGTTTCTGTAGCCTGGTCTTGACCCCTCTTCTTATCACTCCTCCCTTTCAGCAACTGGATTCCAGGAGTTCGGCTCAGTGTTTAGCTGTGGGTGTCTGCTTCTGTTTCCATTAGCTACTAGATGAGGGCTCTATGATGGCATATAAGTTAGTTATATCAATCTCATTATCCCACTATTGCTCAGATTGTTAGTTGGGGGTCATCCTTGTAGGTCCCTGGACATTTATCTAGAGTTAGTTTTCTCTTCAAACCTATAATGGCACCCTCTATTACGATATATTTATTTATTTATTTATTTATTTATTTATTTATTTATTTATTTATTTATTCTTGTCTATTCATCCCTGACTCAATCTTCCTGGTCCCACATATGTTTTCCTCTCTTCACCTTCTCTTTCCCCTAACTCCCTCTCCACTCACTGCCCACCCCCACTCCCAATATGCTCAGCAGATATTGTTCCTTTCCCCTTCTGTGAGGGACCTTGTATGAATCTCTTAGGTTCCTCCTTGTATCCTAGTTTCTCTGGTGATGTACATTATAGGCTGGTGAGTGGATGAGTTTTTAATTGTATTGTTTCTGTGATTATTGTCTAGGTATTGTTTTATTCACCTTAAGTGAAAAAGTGATGTCTGTCTTCATTGGCTCAATGAGAAATGCACTTGGCCTGGTGACAAAAGGCCCTATAGTGGTAGTTCTCTTAGTCTGATGTCTGGGTAATCTGACCAGCTTGAAGAACATGTATCCAAGGAAATTTATACAAGACCTCTTGCAGCTGGAAATCCTGACATCTGGATAAAATGGCACTGAGAAACAACACGAATCCTGGTGGACTTACATGAAGGACCTTCCTCTCTACCTGCCAGGCCTAAGTGAAGAAAGTATTAATGGGCAAACAGTATCCACACTGCACATGGTTATGGAGCATGTATACATTGGCAATCAGAAGCACTTTATACTACCTGGCCTCTGTATTCTTTCCTTCCTTATTCAGGAATCTTCCTGAGATGTGAATGAAGCTACTTAGGATAGGATTTCTTCATGTGCAGATGTAGGTAATGGACTTTGCTATGCTGTAAGATTTTGTGACTCTCTAATGCAGTGAATACTTATGTCTTTGAATATGCTTATCCTTCCCAATAATCTGGCTTCTACATGATATTGTACAGCAAGTCACAAATAAATCATATCTAACACATCAACTACTTGCATAGTGAAGGAACACATATACATACAACTAAGATATGCTGATATGAAATCCCTTTAAATTAAACATCATTTATAACATTTAATTCATCGACTACTAATCTAGGATAGTTCTCTGTGCAGTGTGCTGGAAGGAGAAATGGAAGTAGATTGTATGATAACTTAGGACATTTGATTGTAAAGATAAACCTTTTCTACCCATAACCACCTATCATCCTCATACCATAAACTTAACCATTCATATCCAATTTCATTTTTGTTAAGTACAGATATACATTTTCCCTTGCTGCAGGGCAGCTTCCTATTTGAGTCCAGGGACTAACAGAGTGTCTGCATTTAATCTTTCTCCTTAGGAACTCTATTTCTCTCAATATAACTTCCTCTGGCATCCTTAAATCACTGTTTGTTAAAACTTTTGTTATCTCACTCCTGCCCAATCAGGAGTTCAACCCTCCCCCATTTGAATCCAGAATTCTCCTATCTCCCATCCTTTACTCCTTAAAACTTTGCCTCAACTGAGCTCAATCTTCTCCCTAATCCAACCACTGTGTCGAATGGAGAGCCCAAGCTGGAACTTGCAGTAAAGGTGTTT